TGAACTTCATATGCCATAAGATTACCAATAAGATTTTCAACCGTAAGAGTTGACAAATCATTGGCTTCTTCAATAACGGTAACTTTCTTTTCCCATTATGGAGTAAGTGATCGAAGTATTTTTCTTATCATTTCCACTTGTGTATATGTTTTTCCAAGACCAATGAGAGAATTTGTGATATCGGTGAATCTTGTGAACATTTCTCCAATAGTCTCATTTTCCTTCATCTTGAACAATTCAAATCTGTGCACAAGAACAGAAATTTTAGATTCTTTAACTTTATTTGTACATTTATGAGTTACCTCAAGTGTATGCCAAATATCGTATGCAGATGTGGCCATTGACACCCTATTGAACTCATTCTTGTCAAGTGCACAAAATAATGCATTCATTGCTTTTGAATCCAAATTTGCATTATTTCTTTGAGAAGTAGTCCATTCTGTAAAAGGAGTTGTTGGCTTCTCATATTTCGTTTCCACGACGTTCCAAAGTTCGTAGCCAATTGATTGAAGGTAAATCTTCATTCGGCACTTCCAATAGTTGTAGTTCAATCCATCGAACATTGGTGGACGATTTGTTGAGTGACCTTCTTTGAATTGTGAAGTATTTGTCGATGTCATCTTTCACCTTGCTCTGATACCAAATGTAGGATCTGAAATAGATACACTAGAACACTAAAGGGGGGGTGAATAGTGTTCTGTTAAAATTTACGCAAAGTAGATTATAAATTGCAAAGAAAAATGGCAATCTCAGAAATTCACAATCACAAACACAAGGTTTTATACTGGTTCCACCAATCCGGTGTACATCCAGTCCCCAAGTAAATCCTGCTTGAGAGTTTCCACTATGATTTTGAATAAACTTACAAAATCAAAAGCAAACCTGACCAATTTGTAAGTCCCTGTAAATTGCAACACCAATTGACAAACACCTTACCAATTTGCACACCAATCTCTAAACCAAGAGATTAACTCCTCTCACAACTTGAGAGAACTTTTGAAGCAACAATTTCAATTCCTATGAGCCTTGATTTGTAGTGTAGTGTAGTAGTGGCTTAGGAATGATTCTAACTTCTGTAAATTGCCTAAACAATAAGTATTTGAATGATGTTCAGAGGCAATTTCAGAAACTTTTCTTTTTCTCAAAATCCGAATATTTTCCACTTGAAAAAATGCACAAAAATCAAAGCTTATAGGTATGTAAGTCACTGCATTTTTTCTGAACAGATAACCTATTTATAGCCCTTGAAAAGACAACTTTTTAATCTTTAAAAACGTTTAAAAACGGCTATAAACAGTCATAAATTCAAACTTTGAATTCTGAAAAAACTGTATTTATAGTCGACTACAATACAGATTAGTCGAGTACACTGAGTTCAAACAGACTCTGTGTATTCAGAAAATTTCTCAGTAGTCGACTACAATGCTCATTAGTTACACTGAGTTCAAACAGACTCTGTGTATTCAGAAAATTTCTCAGTAGTCGACTACAATGCTCATTAGTCAACTACACTGTATTTTGATAGAAACTTGTAAAATGAAATTTGCCTTCAGTAGTCGACTATAATGTTGATTAGTCGACTATACTGTAAAATGGCAGAAACTTATGTTTCTGTCAAACACTTAAGTAGTCGACTATAATTCATATTAGTCGACTATACTATAAATTCACAGAAACATATATTTAAGTTTTATACACAAGTAGTCGACTACTATTCTAATTAGTCGACTACTAAGAGTAAAAATTATGAAATAAAAAGTTTTTATACTTAAGTTTTAACTATAATTCTAATGGTTAACATAGGGGATTTCTATTATTAACCAACACACTAAGCCTGTGTTAGTGTGTTCTAATATTGTGTGTGTGCGTGTGTGTGATCAAGGCTTGTACAATAATTCTAAGTAAAGAAAATGTAAAATACATTATCTCATATGTTCTTCATCTTCTTCACTTCATAATACCTTGAAATCAACTTGCACTTGTTCATATTCTGATATTGAAATCTGCATATAAAAGTTAGTGCATTTGTATAGCACACATTGTATAAATTGTTATCATCAAAATACTATCATGGAGATATAATATTCAACAAGTACATCCCAACTAGGTTGGCACCTACTCACTTATATCACTATCATTTGTAACTGTTTTTAAAATAATTCATTATAAATTTTTAGCTAAGAAATAAAAATTATAATTTGATGAATATTATTTACTCTTTATATCTATCTGTTAGTCCCAACTCTTCAAATTTATCTTCAATATCAGCCATCTGATCGATGCCTTACGTTCTCTTCTCGTACCTCCACTAATCATGTAAGCACATCACCGCATGTACAGTATACGGATCTAACGATGTCATGTGGTTGTCGATCAAACGTCCTACTATGTTGAAAGCGGATTCTGAAGCTACCGTCGAAACATGCACTGTTAATAAGTCATGAACCATGATGGAAAGTATAGGATATAAAACTGTTCCATATATTTTCCACCATTATAAAATATCTAAATTATTATTTTGACATTTAACTAAAGAAGTAGTTAAATATTGATCAATTTTAAAAACCTCCAATGATGATCCAAGTTCTGATCTACCAGTTAGCTCAGCTACTATTACATACCTATCAAAACTTATACTTTTACCCCTGACTTGAGCTCGAAGAAGCCAAATCTGTAGACTAATGTGTAACTACACTATATTTAATTGCATACTCATCATATAAGTTTTGAAAATAATTTCTAATAGTATTATGATGAGCAGTAGCAGTAATGTGAATATGCCTAAAATAATAGAAATAGGCCTAAAATATTTATTAAATTTACTTTTCATTTGAAAAATCATACTTCCAAAATAATCATCTATGCAATATTTATTAAAAAAATTTGAATATTTAAAATTTGTAAAGCAGCTAAAGTAATGGTTGAATAATAACAACCAGATAATAACATTGTAGCATCATAAAAACTTGTAGCATCTCTTTTAAATTACTTATGACTATCCATTCATCTTCAGTAATTCCATACATGCTACCAGAGCTAGAACTAGAAGCATAAAAAGCAATAAAAGCATTTATAATTTCTTTATATTCTATTGCTATACTTAACATTGCATAGATGGAATTCCACTTACGGTCAACATCTTTTGGAATCAGTCTAGGTTTTACATTTTTTTTATTTTACAAAATTGTTTACATCTTCTAATTCTTTGTTCAGAAGCATTATACATATAAGTTATCGTCCTAACCTTTTTTATCATGGGTTTAATTTCAGTAAATGCACTTTGAACAATTAAATTTAAAATATAACAAATACATCTAATATGAAAAAGATCACCATGGCATGGCAATGACAGAGATTGTTTGATAAAATCAACAGTTATATTATTATTACTTGCATTATCTAGTTAAAGAGAAAATATTTTTTCTGAAATTTTTAATTTTAAAAGTTCTTCAATTATTAAATTTTTAACATTAATACCAGTATGTGACTCTTCAATTGCTATAAAGAAAATAACTCTTTTAAACATTTGTCAATTTTTATCAATCCAGTATGTTGTAATACATAAATAATCAGTTTGTACTTTAGATGTCCAAATATCAGAAGTTAAAGAAAATTTACAATTTAAACTTTAAAAATAAGAAATTATTTTTCCTTGTTCCTCCTGATAATGTTTTAAAATATCACGTTGACAAGTTTAACGAGAATTTTTTTAAATGTGGGGTCAAAACCATCTGTAAATAAATCTTTAAATTCATCATCTTCTACTAATTTAAAAGGAAGATTTTTAAGAATGATAAACCTGATGACGCATTTCCTGGTACGGACTGTGTCATAATTCCAACTATCGGGACTTCCAGAAGATGAGGATTGAGAGATCATAGATTATCGGATATCACCTTGAGGCGTCTTCCCTTTGTTGTGTTTATCTAAATGGTGTTTAAGGTGGTTGGTGCCGTTCTTATGATGAGCTTGAAAAATCTTGCCGCACAATGCACACTTAGCCTTCTGGTTGAGGATCCTACTGTGTTCATCATTGGTGACGTCTATCTTCTCGAAAAAAATCCACACATCGGATCTCGGCATTTTAGGAGCTTTTGGTGTAGAATCGTCGCCACCGGATTCGGGATCAACATCGGTAGGATCGGTAGGAATAGCTGTAGTAGGAGGACTCATTTCGAGAGTTGGGTTGTGTTCTTCATAATCAGACCCGGAAGCCATTTCACTGAAGAATTAGAGAGCTAAAGCGATTATTAGAAAGTATAAGAGTGTATAAGAGTGTATTAAAGAGAAGTATATGAGTTTTGGATGAGGAAAACAAATAAAACCCCCTCTATTTATAGAGGCAGCCCCTAGATAAATGACTAAAATACCCTTATTTTAACCGTTTTTTACCGTTTTTAGGGGCAAGACGGTAAAAACAACCAAAATGGTCGTTATGACCGGGCTGGGCATTTGCCCACAATGGTCACATAATTCACATTATGTGACCGTTGCGGTTGGGCCGGGCACCGGGCCGGGCCGGACATATTGCCCCGTCATTTTTACGGTCGGGCCGGGCTCGGATTGGACGCTATCAAGGCGGCCCGTACTTGGGCCTGGAACCCGATCTGGCCCGGGTTTCTAGGCCAAACCCGGGCCCATGCCGGGCCCGGCCCCGGCGGGCCAAATAGACACCCCTACCCACCAAGCTAGTCGCTGGGTTCTGGACCAGAATAGACCACCCTGCACGGATCACGCCTAAATAAGTTTCAGACATGTTGATTATTCTCAGGCCCACTATAGGCCCGGGACTCAGGCCCCAATGCTGCCTTCTATTATACTGATGCCCAAATGTTAAGGCGCATCATCCATCATCCATACCTCGACCGCGACCGCTCAAGGGCTCAGGTGTCGTACCGAACTTCTCCCCCCTTTTGTCCTCCTTTGCCGCGTCCGCGCCTTTTCCTCAACAGAATTAGACACCTCATCGCTAGGAAATTAAGAATAATAGCTAAAATCAGTCCCCAGTCAAAAAGAGAAGGCTAAAAAACCACAGAAAGAAGGGGAGAAAAAGAAAAGCTCCGACCAAAAGTAAAGTAAACACATCCACTCTCCCACTCTCATCTCCTCTTTCCCAAATTCTCCTCTCTCTCTCTCTCTTCCCCCTAGGGTTTCGCGATCAAGAATTTATCGATCAATGGGGAAAGGATCCAATCATCAGCAGCAATTCAAGAGCAAGGCCAAGAACCGCGTCGCCGACCTCCAGGGGATGTTCTCCGACCTCCAGTCTGCTCGCAGGGAGAGCCGCGGTGGCGACGCCGCGTCATCGAGGAGCAGGTTCATTAGTGCTCGAGAGTGGAAGGCCATGCTGCTGCGAGGCCTTCGCCAGCCACTTCCCTCATCGTGAGATTCTTCATCAAGGATCATGTAGAAAAGAAAACTTTTTTTTCTGATTGAGGTTTGTTGGTTATTGAGATTGGTTGCTTTTGGTGAACAGGGGAATAGTAAAGGGGGTTCGGATCTTTCGTCGGAGATCTGGAGGCTGCTGCATATTGGGGAGGAGGAAGATGATGCGACTAGCAAGCTGGAGGAATTGGTGGCAATAAACCCTAAGACGGAACCCGTGGAGTTACACGATGAAAATGTGTTGGGGAGCATGCAAGGGGGAGGGGTTGGTGTTTATCAGCAGGTATAATTTAGTGAGATAGAAATATTTGTATTAGTAGGGATTAATTTTGTTTTGAGCTTACTGTTGTGCGCAGCGAAAATTTCGGCAGAGTTTCTGGTGCATAACAAGAGAGTCGGATCGCAATAAGAATTCCCGTCTCACCAAGGAGACAAGAATATGAAACGGATATCTCAACCAAGTGAGATATCGGCTCTTCCTCTCATCAGTTCTAGGACTGACCTGTCGAGGGATCCTAAAACTATTACAATGACCACAAACTCAAACAAATCAATTTTACGTGGTTCGGTAAACTGCCTACGTCCACGTTGTAAGGAGGGGGGAGATCTACTATTAGAGAGGAGAGAATACAACTAGGGTTTACAATCACTCAATCTAAACCCTCACACAATCTCTCAAATCCCTCACACAATCTCTCTCTACAAAAGCACAAAAGCCTGCACACAAAAAACTCCTCTTTGCTCTGCGTTTTCACCAAAGCCCCTTGTCTGCTTCTTTTGCATAGCCGTGAGTTTTCTCCAGCCGCAAAAGCCAATCTCTGCGTTCCCCTCTTTTGTCTGCTTCTTTTGCATAGCCGTGAGTTTTCTCCAGCCGCAAAAGCCAATCTCTGCGTTCCCCTCTTTTACACACGCCCAAAACCTAAGTCACCGAATAAATGCTATTTATATACCTACAGCATAACAATCGGGTGGGCCTTTGCATTAATGTCCGCAATGAGGAAAAACAAAAAAAAAAACCAAAACGCGTCTTTGCTTTGCTTTAATCACATGGTGGCCCCCACTGACTCTCCTCACGCGGTTTCACGTTCACAATTCTTCACATCGGTGAAGTTTTCTCAAAACTGAGTCGACACCAACCAAACCAAATGTCTCACTTGTTGTGTCCAGTACACCGGGAAACAATTCACGACAACAGACTCAATCCATAACAAGTCAAGAGCCCAAATGAGAATGCGAACACTCTCCAAATGTCGGTATCAACTCACCAAATCGATCTCACCCCCATCAAAATTCAACCCGGCTGCATCATAAGACTGCCTACGTATCCTCTTGCCCAAGGAATCAAGCCGAACGTAGTTCACCCAAATGGCCTCCAAAAGCCTCAATCCAATAGAAGAGTTCGCAACCCTTCTCTAATATCATCTACTCTGCGGCTGATAGCACCTCCAATGACCTCAAACACCTCCACCTGAGGTGAACCAATGGTCATACCCAAACTGCATCTACCAGCTACACTCGAATCAAAACCCAACTCATCATCTGCATCCAAAACCAAATGATCTCCAAGCCGTGTCACCTCAGCTGGAATCCTAAATAATGCAGTATGATCTGGAGTAATTTTCACCCAATGTGGAGTAGCATCACTCTCCACCCGCTGCGATACCTCTAAGGTCAATTAGCTCCCTCATCGAAGCCTCAACCGAAGTGACACTACCAGACCTAACACCCAATTGAGTTTTACCTCCTATCACAGCAGTTGACAACTCTTTAATAAGATGGCTCGAATATGTCGAAGCCTCAGTCCAGAAACTCTTCTGCAGACCATTGCTTGACAACAAACACCGATCCTCCTCCAGCAAGGCACGGTTTTTCAAATTTGCCACCCTATCTAGTTACCCCAAGATTTCCTTTCCAACGAAGTGTCTCGCAATGCCGTGAGCTCGGCTCCAATACAGAAATAGGTCCATCTTGTACCTCCCACCAGAATGGAGTACCTTCACCTTTCTGTCTGTCACACACTTCTTCAAACTGTTAGAGACTACTAGGACTTTATCCATCGGGGATTTGGTTGCAACCCAAACCGCCTAGAACAGCCACCAACAAAGGAAACCAAACGCCTATTACCTCCCAATGATGTCCCCTTGGAAGGCCCCCAAACATCCACGTGAACTCCTCCAGAACGATCCTTAGCACGGTGAATAGAGGTGCCACACTTCACCTCGGTCTTCTTGCTCACATCAACATGTTCACTGGACTTCAAACTGCAGGTCTTTGCACCCTCTTTCAATCTATGCGATGAATCAATACTAGAATGGCCAAGTTCCAAATGCCGCAGTCTAGTCGAATCAACAGAAGTCGTCAGCTCTTCACCTGCCACTATACCTCCAGTCAAGTAATACAGGTTATTTCTCCTGACGCCCTTCATCAAAATACGAGAGTCTCTCGCAATCTCGAGAACCATGTCCTCAACACGAACCTTCAGACCCTCTCCAACCAAAGCTCCAATCGAGATCAAGTTCTTCCTCAAAGAAGGAACATATCTCACATCGTTTAACTTTCTAACAGTCCCGTCAAACATCTTTATGCGAATTCTTCCTATCCCAATGATCTGGCATGCACGGTTATCAGCCATGTACACCACACCACTATCCACCAGCTTCTCAAAACTGAAGAACCATTCCCTTCTAGGGCACACATGATAGGTTGCACCACTATCCAACATCCATTAAGATTCCTCCGAATAGCTATCTGTAGGACTGATAGAAAGCGAATAAATAGAAGAGTCAGAATTATTACCATCCGATACAATGTTTGCTTCTGATGATGGCTGCTTCCCTTTTCCCTTCTGCTTATTCTTCATCCATTCGTCGAGCTTTGGGCAGTCTTTCTTCCAATGACCAGTCTCCTTGCACCAAGCACACTGATCTTTTCCTACTCTAGACTGTGACTTCCAATTCTTTCGGTTTGGACCCTTCCCTCTTGCGACCAACGCCTCCGCTACCGGCTCAACCGAAGCCTCCTTATCCTTCTTTCGAAGCTGATAATTCACAAGTGCAGCGGTGACCTCACTATACGAAAGTGATGCCTTCCCATTAATCAGAGTAAGAACGAAGGTCTCATATTCCTCGTCGGGCAAGGAACTCAACAACAGCAACGCCTTGTCCTCATCTTCAATCTTGACATCCACATTCGCCAAATCCGCAAGAAGCTTTGTGTAGTGGTTCATGTGATCTCTAATGGAGGTTCCCTTCTTCAACTGGAAACGATAAAGTCTCCTCTTCAAATGCAAGCGATTTTCCACACTCTTGGTCAAATACTTGCTTTCGAGAATCTCCCAAATCTTCTTCGCAGAAGTCTCATTCATCACATCATATTTTAGATCTTGAGTCAAACAAGACCTAATCACACCACACGCCGTTCGATTCATCTTTTTCCAAACCTTCTCTTCAATCTCATCTGGCTTGCCATCTAACTCCAAGGTATCCTCCAAATTCTGCGCGTTCAGCGCATCCAAAACCTCGCATCTCCATAATCCAAAATTGTTTGTGTCATTAAACTTCTCCACATCTATCTTCATAGAGTGGATATTCAAACTCTGAATGGTCTTCGCGCCAGAAGAACCACCCTCGACACCCGAAGCACCTTCTTTCCCCGACATCTTACGCACCAACGAACAAAGAATAGATCCAAAACTGAAAGATAGAGTTTTTACCAAAAGATCCCACCTTTATCACCAACGAAGTCCTAAACGGTCCTCCAAATTGATCTACTCCTCCAACCAAACCCTAGATCTGGAATCTGGGCTCTGATACCACTTATTGTGCGCAGCGAAAATTTCGGCAGAGTTTCTGGTGCACAACAAGAGAGTCAGATCGCAATAAGAATTCCCGTCTCACCAAGGAGACAAGAATATGAAGCGGATATCTCAACCAAGTGAGATATCGGCTCTTCCTCTCATCAGTTCTAGGACTGACCTGTCGAGATATCGGCTCTTCCTCTCATCAGTTCTAGGACTGACCTGTCGAGGGATCCTAAAACTATTACAATGGCTACAAACTCAAACAAACCAATTTTACGTGGTTCGGCAAACTGCCTACGTCCACGGGGCAAGGAGGGGGAGATCTACTATTAAAGAGAAAAAGAATACAATGGGTTTACAACTCTCACAATCTAAACCCTCAAATAGGCTCCTTGCTTTTCTTCCCCTTGTCTGCTTCTTTTGCATAGCCGTGAGTTTTCTCCAGCCGCAAAAGCCAATCTCTGCGTTCCCCTCTTTTGCACACGCCCAAAACCTAAGTCACCGAATAAATGCTATTTATATACCTACAGCATAACAATCGGGTGGGCCTTTGCATTAATGTCCGCAATGAGGAAAAACAAAAAAAAAAACAAAACGCGTCTTTGCTTTGCTTCAATCACATGGTGGCCCCCACTGACTCTCCTCACGCGGTTTCACGTTCACACTTACATATACTCTAGTGTAGAGCTCATACTCTTGCATAGCCTTTTCACAATTTAACAAATTACATAGCTGTTGCTGTCATGCCTAGTTAAATTCGCATGTCAAAATGCGAATCTTTATCAGATTTCTAAATGTTTCGCAGGTGAATGGAAGGAGTTGATTCTTTATATTCGTTTCATAGCACTCATAAGAGTTACATTGTCTGCCTTAAAATAATTATTTATCATATAGATACTGTATTTTTAACTAATTCAAAGTCTAGCTGTAGGAAAATTCATGTACATCTAGGGTCATCTTTGTTTGCTTTGAAGTTCTGAGTTTTCGCCGTGACATTTTTTATATCCTCATAAAGAATGGAAGCCTCTAGAAAGGTTTTATAAATAAATTAAGAGTGAAAGTGGTGTTGTATGTTGAAGTACCTGCAAATAAAATTTTAACGGAATGATATGTTTATTACATGTAAAAGACAGATGTTTAGAGAGAAAAATAAGAAACCACGTTGAGCACTTACCAGGCTGTTTGTGAAGTGGTTTATGTAAATGTGGAGTCTCATCTTACCAATGGACCAGCAACCCCACTTGATGGATGGATTACAAACATGATATTTCATTTATAAGATTTCAAGTTTAGTAAATCATGGTGGACGTTGTGGATTGATCCATTATGGACTAGGTAGTCCACCTAGCACTAGGTAATGTGAGTATATAAGCAGGTTGATTATCAAGTCTTGAACCACTAGCAGAACATTGATCCTTTTTGTTGCTGCCTAATTTGGATCAAGGCATATGGAAAAAGGCAAGGTCTTGCATAAAATCTGTAAGGATGTGACTTCTTCTCATGTAGTTTAAGCTCATGCAGACAATACCAAATTTTATAATGGGCCTCCCTGGTATTTGATGTCTAGTTTATGTCGGAAGAACAGAAATGTTCATTGATCTGTAACGCAATATGTGATGGAAACATGTTTTACTTTACTTGGTACTATTGTGCCAATGTTGAGAATATGGTGAAATTATGCTGTCATTGGATACATTTGACATGTAGCACGTTTACAGAGGCCTATGACTCTTGAGAAAGGTCCCATATATCTCGATATTCTTCGGTTCTTTTTGTTGAATATTAAGATATTTTGCTTGTGTTGAAGAGGTTTGAATTCATAGTGTTATCTATGTTATTCAAGAACATAGATTTTTTTTTCCTGGCATAATGTATCCCAATTGTATAGAAATCTTAATGAGAGTGATGATTTATTGAAGTTAGCCAGCTATTTTACTTTTTCATCAAATAAAAGTGTGCAGTAAAAATAATAATAAAGGAACTGAAACAAGGCTCTGGTGAAGATTGTAGTGAGGGAAGTGTACACGTATGCGTGTGTGAGCACATGTGCATGCATGCATTGATCAATGTCTCTCGGGTTTTGTGTCTAGGGATGTTAAGAGATGCGAGCTGGCTTTATGGGCTTCTTTTTGGTTCTCTCCAGCTTTTGGTTTCTGTCGTATTAGCTGATCTGAAATTTTTGATCAGTGCCTTGCTTCTAGTATTGATATGTTAATCTAAAAGTAACTGATTTAGGTTATTAGTGCGAAGTATTTATTAATGGGCACTGTGATTGTTTAAAGATGCAGTAGGTGGCTGCCTGGGTTGAGGACTCTTAAGGAATAAAAAAATTGTTCTAAGAATTGTATATTTCACTGGCTCCATCTCCGTTGCCTGCTCCTTGATATTGCTGCTGCTGCTGCTGCTTTTATGCTTTTATCACAGAAAGTTTTAAGAATTAGTTACAAAGTTTTGTGTGGAATGTTCCGTCGAGCTTTCTTTTCTCCTGAATGCAGCATCCTGCTTTATACATTCTTCTTTTAAAGTTGCTTATTATAAAAACTGGCATTGTATCTTGGTTTTCCTCCATCAGTGGTCTTAACCTTGTAATAGGAATTTTCATCTCACTCGAACCTGCAGGACTATTTTGTTTATCAGGAACTACCAAAACATGGATTTTTTTGTGCTGATCAGTTCAAAAACACCCTTCCTTCAGGAGCAAACCATACTGCCACTAATTGCCAGAAGACTAATCATTTAAATTATGAACAGTTCAGTCTGCACCATGAAATGGCCCATACTCATTATATCGCCTTTGACGGAAATGGACAGAATGGTGGCAATATTACCCACTATCAGGATTTGTCTCACATCACAGACTTGCTTCCAGCAATATCCCCTCCAGCTTCTGCTTACTTAAGGCCAAAATGTGCACTCTGGGACTGTCCGAGACCTGCACAAGTATCAGAATGGTGTCAAGACTATTGCAGCAGCTTTCATGCTACTATGGCAGTGAGTGAAGGGCCTCCTGGTATGACCCCAGTGCTGAGACCTGGAGGTATTGATCTTAAAGATGGTCCGCTTTTTGCTGCTCTTGCTGCAAAAACACAGGGAAGAGTGTCGGTATTCCCAGAATGTGAGGGAGCGTGCAACTACAAGTGAATGCCCCGGGTATGTATATGATGCTATATTACTTACTGGTATTTAATAATGGGTTTTTTTTTCACAGAAACCCATTTCAAATCGGGTGACAATACGAAAACCATCTGTAAAGTTCAATTAATGCAGAAACTACCTGTAAAGGGTTCTGGTAGTAGTTAGCCACCTTGACCTTTAAATGTATATGCTTGGCTGAGAAGAAGAAATTGAAGGCTGAGCTAGTAGAGATGGGCAAGATGATTAAGTCAATGGAAGATGAAAATAATAGGTTGGAATGTGAGAACAAATACTTAAAATATTTTAATCAAAATTCCATCTGAAATAGGCCAAGGTGGTTGGTTGCTGTCAGAACCCTCTTTAAAGGTGGTTTATGTATTTATGTATTAACTGAACTTAAAAGGTGAATTTCATTCTGCAGAGCTCTTTGATCGGGGGGGCTTTAATAATTCTCTTATTGTGTTCACATTGCCTTCTGTGTAATAATAGAGTAGTTTGCTGTGACATAGTAGGCCAAAAGTTATCATGTAATACAATGATTCTTGATGATCTTTTCTGCAGAGCTCTTTGATCGGGGGGGCTTTAATAATTCTCTTATTGTGTTCACATTGCCTTCTGTGTAATAATAGAGTAGTTTGCTGTGACATAGTAGGCCAAAAGTTATCATGTAATACAATGATTCTTGATGATCTTTTCTGCAGAGCTCTTTGATCTATCTGTTCTTGAGGGTGAGTCGCTGAGAGAATGGCTCTTCTTTGATAAGCCAAGGAGAGCATTTGAAAGTGGAAATCGAAAACAGAGGTCGTTGCCAGATTACAATGGACGTGGCTGGCATGAATCCAGGAAGCAGGTAATGAAGGAGTTTGGAGGGTTGAAGAGGTCCTACTACATGGATCCACAACCACTGAACAACTGTGAGTGGCATCTTTATGAGTATGAGATCAACAACTGCGATGTTTGTGCCTTATACAGGCTAGAGTTGAAGCTTGTTGATGCAAAGAAGAGTGCGAAAGCAAAGGTAGCAAGTGATTCTCTTGTTGATTTGCAGCGACAAATGGGGAAACTTAATGCAGAGAATGCTACGGATAGCATGTGGTATTGTAAGGCAAGGGCGAAGGCTAACCAGAAAGATGTTGCTGAAAGTTTTTATTCAGCTGCTGACTTAGTTAATCAGAAGGTTAATGACTTAGTTAATCAGAAGGCCAATGGTCTACATTTTTATGATGGTTCAGGTCAGGTAACGCATATTAATGGGAACCCTGTTTATGGACCAAGTCTCCCATATGGCTATTCTGTTGAGGACTTGAATAAATACTACGGAACGTAGTTATTGACATAGAGGCTCAAGTGATGGTCATGGGAAGTGGGGTCATCATCTCAGAAACAGGGTTTTGATGAATAACCAAATTTCAGTGTTTTGGTGTTTCTACAAGATGAGGAATCTTTACCATGTATATGACATAAGACAACCTTACCATGTATGTGTCATAAGACGAGAATGTGCAGGACAAGAGTGCATTCTGGCAGCAATCGTTGAAATTTGAGCAATTTGTAGTCCCTCAACTCCTTGATGTGTATATAATTTACCAGAGGTAGCAGCTATGCCCTTTTCCCAAAGTGAACTGTATTCATGGGGGCAGTTTAAATACTGGCAGCTTATGTGCTTCAACTATGTCAATAACTCCAAATTGTAACCATACTTTTTTGCTTTTTCTTTTTCTGTTTAATTAAGGGAGTCCAAGAGCATCTTCTTGATGCATCTAATATGGATGCGAAAGTCGCAGATAAATTTGCTAGATGTTGGAAGCTTTAATTTGTTGAAGCTGTTGTAGGTGTCTTATCGATGAACTGTGCTTGAGCATATATGCCCAGGAGGTTTGCATCTCTTGGAGGTGTTACTGTTGCATTGACTCCGTGCAAGACGTGCTCTTCGATTCTAAAACCATAACAGTCAATTCAAGTTATTTTTTCTTCCCAGAAGCATAAACATGATCTTTGCATACAGTGCAAGTGACTGGATAACATTCTCTCTATGTAATTCTCTCTTTCAAAATCAGTCAATTCAAGTTATTTTTTCTTCCCAGAAGCATAAACATGATCTTTGCATACAGTGCAAGTGACTGCAAGTTATTTTTTCTTCCCAGAAGCATAAACATGATCTTTGCATACAGTGCAAGTGACTGGATAACATTTTCTCTACGTAATTCTCTCTTTCAAAATTTTCTGTTTACCCAACATCACAGTTGAGGTCATTGGCTACAACAAAAATTTCAAGACAACTAGATTGTTCTTAATAATTTGACTTATATATTCTGGCAGAAGCATGAAAGTGAGCCCATATTCAGTACTGGACAGAGTGCTAAGTAACTTCCATAGGTTGTACCTAGAGGTGCATAGCACAATGATAAAAGAATACCCTACAGGTTCAAGAATAGCACAAATGATGCATCAAAAGAATCAAATTTGTAACTCATGCCATTGCAAATTCCCAGTATTGCACTGTCATCCGCTCACATTGTTACACTGTCGGTCAGCTTTCTTTTGGAATACTGGCATCAGAAACCTCTACTCATATAGAGCTTATAGACTAAACCCAACAATTAAGTAATTGCAGCAAAAATATGATGCACGGTATCCTTGTAATGATGAGGGTGATCCTTTAGAATTATCACCCAACATGAGGTGAAATGCTGGAAATCCTCCTCTCTCTTGCGTGATAATCATCAGCTCTCTTTAATCTCCAACAAAGACATGTTTAACTAGGAAAGCACTACTGTCTCATCAGATTCTGCTGCAGCCTTCTCCATTGATTTCTTCTTGTGCTTTTTCTTTATCTTCTGTTTTAGCTTGTCAAGCCTCTTAATGCTCTTCTCCCATGCCTTTTGGTATTTCTTATAAATGAGCATGGCGGCTCGGGCATCCTGAATCTGAACAAAAATGCATAAAACATGATGGTTATGTTACTTAAACAAAAACTGATGATCGTTTCTTATATCGATGTTTAGGGTAATGATTATAGAAAAGATATTAAGACAAAATTAACCCATAAAAGGGTTTGTCGCCTGTAAAGTATAAAGATGAAATCTGTATCATTAATCATTAAAAGAAACTGATGACTCAAAAGTTTTTGTTGCGTTTACGACTTATGATTGTGATGCACAAAAGTTTCAAGTTCAACGAGAATGCCCACATGAAATTTTTTAGCTAATATAATATTCAAAGTAGCAGGCGTGATTTCATGAGGGTAATAGATCTTCATGAACTAACAATAATCCCGGATTTGTAACAGAGAATCCAACACACAGAGCTGCATACTTCCCAAGTCATTATAAACATAAATAAGAGAGATCGAGAGTAAGCATTTTCAAAATCTATAGTTTAAAACAACAGAAGTTGGCAGACAATACACATTTATAGAGCGATTATTTATACAGCTGTGATAATGTTATGCTCCTGGAAGACAAATGAGTAGCGTGAGCACCTATATCAACCTTTTAATTCCAGTCAAGTTCTTAGGTCAATAATTCAACTTACTGGACAGTGTTGCTTTTGTTGGATCCTGATACCAAGTATTTCAGCTGCAAGATCCTTAAGAGCCCTTCTCCGCCCGTCCCTACTGAATTTGCTCCTCAAGTGTTAGCAAGTAATAGCAAGAAGGGGGGAAAACCTATTCTGACAATATTCTAAATGCCGGTTTTTGAAGTCCCTTACAGTGAAATATATTTACCTTAGAAAGGGTTTATATTCTGAAGTGTCCCTAATATCCTTCTTTGGATGACTCAATAATAATACCTGAAATAAAATGGAAAATCAACCGCCGCTCTAGCATGGAGAATTAACATATGCTATCAAAAAAGATGGAAAACTCCTATTTTCTGCAACCTTCAGATCATTGTGTAAAGCATGCCCTACAAGGATCCTTCCTTTGATCAACTCTGCCACTTTCTTCTGGACAATCATGAAGTTCTTTGCTGCAGTCATAAACTTGCATGAGAAAACAGTCTTATATGGAAAGACAGAACCGCTCAATCATTTGGAAAGTTCAAAATCCAAGAGGAAGAGCAACAATTCAGGAGCACTAACCTTTCTTCATGTTCCAAGGGTGGATACCACTGATATTCGTACGGAAGTCCACAACAGGCTCTAGTGGACGAACATACTCGTCATATACAACGTTTCCCCATGCATTCACCTACAACAAAATAAAATTTCTATAAGAAAATATCAGCGGAAAAAAAAGTTTGTCCTTCTCATTGATCTTAAATTACAATGAAAATTCAAGAACCTTGCATTAAACTTTAAGGATAAAAAAACCTTGAATAAATAGTGTTACAGGAGTGAACACCAATGTAACTCTAGTTCATTGTCAATGTAGCAGGAAGGGGTAGGACACAAACCCAAGTAGAAGGGAAAACCGAAAACCAATCATTGATCAAGACCACGCACTAAAATATTAGAGGCTTGGTGTTTGCGAGGAGGTTCCTTTGCTGTTCGTTCATCACCATAACAGGGTTGAGCTCCGATCTCTGAGTAAGGTGGAAGTGTGGTTTCAACTTTCAACTAGTGATGCCTAAAATTTTAATTGAACTATTTGCTTTTAGATATCCATCGAATCATGTACTTTCGATGTACTTTGTTTTGCGCTTCAGTGATTCTTTTGAGGGCTCAAGGCATTCACAAATGTCAACAAAACTCCTTTACGATAATGTTTAGTTTAGTTCTTTTGAATGAGAAGTCTTACGCCTCTCTCTCTTGCATAATTTTAACTAGATAGGAAACTCTCTCTTGCAGGCTTAGCTAGGTGCCTTCAAAAGGTGTCTTCTCACTCTATTACTTGAAGGATGAATATACTTAAAATGACCCATTATGAATATTCCTCAAGTAGAATGGTGCGTAACAACTAACAAATCGAGATAAAGCAATGCAAAGACTACAAAAATCAGTAAAAACTTGGTGGGTGCCACATCAAACTTCAGTTAGAGAACTAATGTACCAAGACTCTCCTACCATTCAATCTGCAAGTGAGTTAAAGATTAATTTCCAACCCTCTTATGAGAAACATAATGCAGGTCATAAGGCATTCTGTAAGCCACAGGATTCGTAAATGCTTCACATTGCCCCCGCTTATGCGCCACAATATATCCAAGTGACAAGCACTTCAGTCGAGGTTTTATATCTGGTATCACAACTTTCACTTTGGATGTCACATTCTTATATTTTCAGGATGGACAAATTTTCAAAACCAACCTCTTTCAAAATTTATTTCCAAAAAACAACCTATTTTGCACTTATTTTTAAAAACTGACCTGGTTTCAGCGCTGGCGCTGAAACCAGGTCGGTTTCTGAAAAAAAAATTACGATACTTTACGGGAGTCAACTCCCGTTTAGTTTAGCATATTTTTAAACTTCACGGGATTTTAACTCCCATGAAGATTAAATTCTTCAAAAATCTTCACGGGAGTTCAACTCCCGTGAAGATTTATTCAGAGAACAGACTTCACGGGAGTTCAACTCTCGTGAAGTCTGTTAGAGTATTAAAATCTCCACGGGAGTTCAACTCACATGGAGTTACATGCCAAATTTCCCAAAGAATCGCTCTGTGAAATTTAGACTCCAACTTCACGGGAGTTGAACTCCCGTGAAGCTGCAGGTTTTACAAAACATGCACAGGCTGCTGTGCTGTTCATGTTTTGTATACATCTACATGTTTAACTCATATATATAACTATTTACCTGTCAACAACAATTACTACAATATATATATGATATGATTCAACCATGAATTAAACACGCATGAATCAAACAATACTCAAAAAGAGTACATATATGAACAATAATCACAAAAATATAGTATTTGAAAATTTATAAAAGTTACAAATTTTAACAAAATAAGTTTAAATACAACCCAATATAGCTCATCTCCTTCCTCTCCCTCTCTTCCCCCTCCCCCTCGCTCTTCCCCGCCCCCTGCTATCCTGTTAATAGGAACACTTTTCATCATGAAGTTATCAATCCATTCTTCTCCTTGAAGTTCATCGGGTGGCGGATCCTCTAAGACAACATACTCAATATTAGCATAACACCCGTCAATGTGGTGGTTATCCCCTTTATCACGATCTATCAAGGTCATGCTATTAATTTGTAAGCCCTCCTCTTCATCATCATTCTCAGATTCAACACTTGCATTATCTTTTTGAACTCCCGTGTTAGTATTGAAAGCATTCGAAGTGCCCACAAACGGAGGACCACTTATATATTGTGATTGAGTCCAACCTTCATCTTGTTGAGGAGATATCAAGGTCATGCTATTAATTTGTAAGCCCTCCTCTTCATCATCATTCTCAGATTCAACACTTGCATTATCTTTTTGAACTCCCGTGTTAGTATTGAAAGCATTCGAAGTGCCCATAAACGGAGGACCACTCATATATTGTGATTGAGTCCAACCTTCATCTTGTTGAGGAGATAAAAAGCCAACGGAATCAACATCAGGGTCCTCCAACATGCGGGAGTACATTCCATCATAATTCAATGTTTTGCCCAAATTCCTTTGATGTTTTTCAGTGAACAATTCGATCGAACGCTTCTCGTCATGTAAGACTCCAATGAGACCCATATTGTAATCACTTGATATTTGAATGTCGCTTGTCTTGTTCCCCACAACAGGATAATTGTAAATAACATTGAGGTGATACTCACGTGAGTTGGTTAATCTAAGTTTGTGTAATTCATTAACCAACTCATCGAAAGTACACGATTTTGTTATAAACAACGGTCTCATCGCACCTCCTTCATAAACGGGTATATTATTTTCAAGGTAGTTAATCTTCCCATCATAAGAATAAAAAATTATGATTCGATCGTTCATCGTTACCTCTGAAGAGTAAAAAAATTAAAAATAATATTACACGAAAAGACTTTAAAAGTTAATTGTTACTTACCATTAAATCCTATATCAATTTTAGGGAACCATAATTTTACCCAAATTCATATACTGATGTCATACATATGTAGTAACACTAATTTTTTCATTTTTGATAATTTCACCTCTAAATCCACAAAATTATTTAATTTTTCTTCACAAATTTCATAAATTATTCACAATTAAATTCTAAAATCTAATTGATGTCATACATATATAATAACACTAATTTTTACATTTTTTATAATTTCACCTCCAAATCTACAAAATTATTTAATTTTTCTTCACAAAATTCATAAATTATTCACAATGAAATTCTAAAATCTAATTGATGTCATACTTATGTAGTAACACTAATTTTTACATTATTGATCATTTCCCCTTTAAATCGACAAAATTATTTAAGTTTTCTTCACAAAATTCATAAATAATTCACAATAAAATTCTAAAATCTAATTTTTTACATGTAATCACCATGAAATAGTGAGAAAATACAAGAAATTAAGAGAATAAATTTTTTTGGAGGACTATACCTTCAATCTGTTAAACTCCGATGACAACGGCAGGATCGGGACTACCGGCGACGACGGTTGGAAATAGGGGCGGTTCCGGCGGTCAAAAATGGGGGAAGGCGGTCGGAAATGGGGACGCCGGTCGGAAATGGTCTGGCGCGCCGGTGGTTGGGAGGAGGGAGAGACGGCTAGGGTTTGGGGCGGGGGCGTGAGAAGTGAGATCGGGACTCTTCACGAGTACGCCCGCGCTTATATAGGGGAGGACGAAACTCCACTGGAGTTTGACTCCCGTGGAGTTACAAGCTTTAATTTCCCAGAGAGCGATTCTTTGGGAAATTTGGCCTGTAACTCCACGGGAGTTGAACTCCCGTGGAGTTTTTAATACTCTAACAGACTTCACGGGAGTTCAACACCCGTGAAATCTGTTCTCTGAATAAATCTTCACGGGAGCTGAACTCATGGGAAGATTTTTGAAGAATTTAATCTTCATAGGAGTTCAACTCCCGTGAAGTTTAAAAATATGCTAGACTTCACGGGAGTCTCGTAAAAAAAAAGTCATAAACCGACCTGGTTTCAGCGACAGGTCTGAAACTAAGTCGGTTTTTAAAAATAACTTCGAAACCGGTCGTTTTTTGCAAATAAAAGTCCAAATAGGACTGTTTTGAAAATTTGTCCTATATTTTCAACCAAACTCAAGCCCCTTCTGTTAAAGTGACACCCCAATTCTCCGCTCGACAAGAGCATGCGATCTTAACGTTTCATAACCGCAATCGCCAACATCTAAGTCTGTTTCAAACGGAATGAGAACTGTATAGAACATAAATTCAGTCTACAATCCTCTTTCAACAAAGATTTACCAGTATTTTCCACTCTCATCAAAGACTCTGACTTGATTCCAAATTCTTGACGTTGAGAGGGCATTCAAAACCAATTCTCGATCCTTGTTGATCATAAAGTTTAAACTAACTCAACCAAACATATGATGAAAGTTAAAACCCTAAAACAAGCAAATAATGAGAAAAACACTAACAACTGTAACTCTGGGGTTGAGGTTTTGCTTCAGAGAATCCCAGTTAGGGTTTAGTGCCGACGGCGGGTTTCGTTTCTTCATCGTCGGCGATTCGTCGCCCCCGTCTTCGGGTTTTCACTGTCATTTTATCTCGCGGGTTGGGCTTACGATAGGCAAATAAAGCGGGTCGGGTCGAATAACAGAACGGGTTAGCCTGAGGTCGTGTTAGCCCACTCAAATTTGGGCCGGATAAAATTACGGGATATTTACCTATAAGGGGCTGTTTGGTTGTTGTTGGTAAAGTTGTGTATTTATGACATAACTTAGAAAGTTGTTGTCCACCTCATCAATTTTACTTATATACTTTTCTTTGTTTGTTTTTTATTACATTGGAATCATAAATTGCTTGTTTGGTTTGCAAATGTAACTTTAATTGTTTGTTTGGAAAGTGTAAAAAGTGGTACCTACACAAATGATCATATTGGTTGGAATTATTTTTTATTATTTTTTTCTGATTTCAATGTCAGTTTTCTCCTAAAATCATGTCTTTTTTTATGAAATCATTTTACAAGCCACATCAGCATATGAAATCACTTTACACTATTTTCACAACTACAAACAAACAATTGAAAGTGATGAAAGCTGACATTGGGACCCACTTTTTTACACTTTCCATCCTTTTACATGGTAAAAACATACAACCAAACAGCCCCTAAATCCAAAACTATACCGATCTCCTATTTATTTGCGAACCCAAATACTCCTAACGATACCTATGTACCCACACAAAAAAATCATTTTGTATCTTTAAGTCCAAAATGTTAATTGCGCGCTATTTATAGACAGTACTTACAAAAGAAATTAAAAATTCCACAATGTCCTTTTAGTCCTCCTCATTTCTCTTGCCTCTTAAATATTTGTCACCTTCTCACCCTCTCCCCTCCTCTTGACTCCTTGTTTGCTCATACTTCATCTCCGCACATACACATGTTTCTTCTCTCGTTCTAAATTATCCGATCTTTTCTATTGTAAACTGTAATTATAACAAATTTAAATTGTTACTATAATAACTTAAACCGTATATTTCAGAATTGAAGATGAGAGAGTGGAGGAGGAGGGGCGTTGGGAGGAGAAGGATGAGGCAAGAGAGGAGAGGGAGGAGTAGCAGTGAAGGGAAGTCCAAATGAAGCACGGAGAGTGTGAGAAGCACGGGAATAATGGATTATGTGCAAAGAAAGAGGAGGAAGACAATGACATTTTTCGGATTTTGATTTCTTTTGGTAAATAGTATATACAAAATACTATGTATCTGATGTTTCCGGCTTAAAGTTAGAAGTGGTTTTGTGTGTGAGTAGGCCGCGTGTATATAAATAAATGGAGATAAAACTTAGGATTTAAAGACTAAAATCCTCTACTATATTTCCAATTCAAACTAGCTCCTCTGGCCAAAAAGGCTCAAGAGTAAAGACAACTCCTAATACTTTGTTCGGTACACATGAATCGAGCCAAATTGAGAATGAAATAAGGGAGTGAAATAAAGTAAATCTGTGAATGATGCTTATTCTCATTTTTCACGGTTGGTCACGATAAAGAATTAAGATATTTTTGAAAGTTTGATTCTCACTGCACTTCTCAATAACTTAGAAGATAAAAGTTACAAGTAAATTATCATTCTAACTTTAAATCACTTATTGTGTTTAGTACACTTAATAAAAAGTGGTAATGGATACTCCATTCCACCTCATTCCTCAGTACCAACATAAAGTCACTTGGATGTTTGGCACAAAAAAAAATTTCTTTTTGGTTAACATAAAAAAAACTAGTATAATAACGGTCAATATTTGGCAACACCATACAGGTGGTATGTAAATGAAATTTAATTGTTCTATTTTATATACCCAAAAAATTGTAAAGAAACTAGTAAACTAGTGAGTGAAGAAAAAGTATTACAAAATTGACCAATAAGGACATACCATAATACCCTCATGAGCTCATTCTCCTCACATCAAATTGTGGTCCCCGTGGGTTTCTTTCCCGGTGAAAATATTAAATCCATGGGATGCATGCTTGCATTGCTCGGTTCCAGCAAACACCACTCCTGAGCGCCAAAACAAACCACGTGCGGTAGTTGTAACTGAAGTGCGTCTACGGGCCCCTGTCACGCCCGCTTCCTAAAATATCGGGGAATCGGAACGTGAACAAGCCCGCGACGTATTAGATTGAGGAGAAATATACACTATTATTTTTTTTGTCTTCTTTTCTTTTCTTCTCAATCCAATACGTTAAGCGTCTAGAATTAAATACAATGTGAAGTCACAGGTCCCCGATCACAATCAGCAAGAATATAATAGACAACCTCAGAATAAAATTATACATATCACAATGAATATCTTCCGAGACTTAATATTCGGGTCAAACATGCCCTTATATAAATTGAACAAATGAATACTGAAGAAAATGTAAACTACATCGTTCAACGGTAATAGAAAGGAAAATACTACAAGAACAACTGAGATCATCAACTAAGAAGAGATAACTGCTTCGGCCTATTCTTCAACTCTATCTGCAAGACACTTCTGTTGAGAATCCTCTGGCTCATGATGATCTCCCAGCTGAACCTGTTCTTCCTCTAAGTCTGACGTACACCAGAGAAAGCAGGTGTACGTCAACGTGTATGGCACACGGCAAGACCCCACAAAAGAAAAGAAAGCGAACGAAAACCCAATGCAGAAAGCGATACGATAACAGAAACAACAAAAGAACGTACAACTGAAATCCACAAATCAACATGAAAACACTACTAAATCATGATAACATATGAATCCAAAATCAATCGGGTGACAGAGTCATGCAGCTAGAATCAACTAATCATCCAAGTAACAGGGTCATACACTAGATGGAATTAATACTTAATAATCTACAACAAGAGACGTAGTACGTCGAGCGAAATAATCCAAACAAGGAAACCCTCATGTATATACCATATGTCTCAAATTGTAGATAATTAAATAATAACCCCGGCCTATGTATGAAAGAATTACGACTGGCCTACATCTCACAAGAACTCATACCTAGTCAAGACAAGCGAGGTCTGGGTAAGTAGCCATCCTATAAACAGGTCACTGGCTTCACATCTCACATAGCAGTCAAAGTCACATTATCGGATATCTGCGTTAGACCAACATCTCACTAGTACCTCAGACCCGCCCAGTGCAAAACAATTCACTGTGGTCTTAGAAATAATCAATAACTCACAATATCAGCCGCCCTCCTCAGACCCACCCCATGTGCGAATCGATTCACTGGTTGCAGCCTGGAAATAATCAAAATCACTCACATCTACCTCAGACCCACCCAGTGCGAAATCGATTCACTGGTGTGAGCCTGGAAATAAGCAATAAAATTATCCGTCACTGCTCCTCAACCCACCCTAGTGCGAACACATTCACGTGGTGTGAGCCTGGAAATAATAAAACAAGCCATATCCGCGATAACATGAACTGACTTTCCCCATCCTAACTCATCTTGGCTTTTCTAAAGTCAATAATACACAGGTATCTAGGTCTTATATACGAACCGCTGGCAACTAAGACAGTGACTCTAAACGTTTCTGAACAATACAGAAATAAAAACTAAATACAACTAATCGTTATGCAAGTCATAATGATGAACATGACTATATAATAGCTAACGAGAAATCAGGCGTCGCATATATAAGACATGAGTAGTATAAATTAAGAAGTGTCAACAAAATCCGGCTGCAATGTACATGAAATGTCGTGTTCTACAAATATCATAAGCATCATAACACAAAAATTAATATTTTCCAAAAGTACTTCTAAAAATATTTATCATTCTAAAATAATTTTTCCACGATAAAAATTCTAAAAAGTATCTATAATTTAATCTAAATAATTCTTTACACGAAAATAATTCTTTAATTTATTATATTGTTCTAAAAGAACTATGTTATACTATATATTTTTATTCATTCATATATTATTCATACAAACCCACAGATTAATAAAAATTATTAATTAACATAAACAGTAATTCAACACAATTTCATCAACAAAGCCTCATGCAGATCAATAACAATCATTAATCTAATTTTGCACTACATTAACGATAGATATAAATAGGAATTGACGAGTCAAGAGGAGCGGGATTTTGCTCGCGGTTCGAGAACGAATTCGACGCTGACAGGCACGCGGCCGGATTGACGCGGTGATATGGCTCTGACACGGAATATGTCCCGCAATGGAGGGACTCGGAGGTGTGCTGCGATCTCGGACACTCGGTCGACGTACGAGGGGCGGGCGACTGTGGACTGAGCACGACATCGCTGGCGATGGGTCCGACAAGGGCGGAGGTCGGCGACGTGGTTGGAGGAGGCAGTGTCAATGGGGTTGCCGAGGAGGTGCGGTCGCGACTGTGTCAGATTGGCGCCTATCTGGCAGGGGGGGGGGACCGACGAAGGCGCGGCGTGGGTTCCACGCCCAGGGGCAGCAGTGCTAAGGGTGGCGGCAGATGGAGGCTGCCGAGGAAACGAAGTAGGCACGGTGGACGCGCGTTGCTGAGCGCATGGGTGAGGGTGGCTGATCGGGCTAGATGGGTTGTCGGATCTCATGGCGAAAGCGGGGTCGAGCTGGGTGTGAGGGGCTTGGCTGGAGCTCCGTCAGTGACGAGAGAGTGGAGGCGGTGGCAGGCGGTGGCGACGACACAGAGGACTGGTCGAGCTGGAGTCTGACATGGCCGAGATGGGCGTGGAGGGCATAGAGGGCGCGGACTTGGCGCAGTAGCGTACGCGTGGCTGGGCTGAGGGAGAGATGGCGGTCGGCGTCGGAAGAGGTGCTGCGTGGCGTGCTCTTGTGGTCGGAGGTGGGTTTGGGCGCTGGTTTTTTTGAGAAGAAGAAAAAGAAAGAGGAGGAGGCGAAAATTGATTACGAGAGAGAGAGAGGTAATACTATATATATATATTTATTATATAGGGTTAGGGTTAGGAAATTTAACCAAAAATAATTAAAAATAAATAATTATGTGTACTTAAAAATTAAACTAATTACGATATATTTACTTATATTTAAAATCAAATAAGTATGGGATAATTATATACACAGTAAAACGTACTAGTTATACCAATACGACAGAAAATATGTAACAGTAGAATAATTCAACAAATTATACCAAAAACACGTAATTAATAATACCATGTATTATATGAAATAATTTATAATAATATTAATAATACAATATATTATTTAAAATATTACGTAATAGTATCGATAACTCAACAAATTAATTCTAGAAATTTTTACCGCACAAAACAAATTTATAAATATTAAAATCATTTAAATAAATATATAATCAGATTTTTAAATTATAGAAAATTGTAGAAAATCGAGAAAAATACAAATACTCTTTTAAAAATCATAATTAAATATTTTAAAATACCAAAAAATTATTTTAACTAGTATTAAAATTTTATCCCCCCCCCCCCCCCCCAAAAAAAAGTTTTTGGGATCCTGCATTTAACTTATAGTGAGGATCTTGTAGGCAATAGCCAGTGGTGTACTATTAAACGCAGCTTTAGTTGTCTTGTTTAGGCTAGATCTGCTTCTGTTTGACTACTTGATTCCTAGAGGTGTACTATTGAACGTGGCTTCTTTCATCATAGATTCATGGTTGAATACGCAATCGCATTTGCGTGCTCTTCTATAGAGTGTTCGTCCAACACTGTGCTCAGAATGAATTTCACCTGCCCTTGAATTGGGATAAGGCTCAGGGAGCAGCTTATGTTAAGCGATGTTCGCCTTATCATAAATTTTGGTGAGGTTCTCAGTTGCAAGTATTGAGTGAAGTTCATTAATTGTTATAGATCGCCAAGGCTATTGCTCTTAAATCCTTGCCTTGACCTGTGGCTAAGATCTCTCTTAGCGGTCAAAATTTTGTACAAGATTCACTAAACGGCCTACTCTTAGGCTATCTTTTAGCCTTTGAGTGCTCTAATCATCTCTCATAAGGAGTGATTATTCGGATAAGTTTAGTGAAAGGCTTATAAATATCTCTTCATTCTCATCTCATTCATCCTCATCTTCCTACATCTCGATCTAATCCTACCCGACCAGAGTTCCTCTTTTATAGAGAAGCTGAAATCAAGCGGCTTTGGCATGAGTTGGCTTAAGTTTATGGAAGTTATATGGAGGAGACCAAGATACTTTGACAATTTGTGGACTTGTTGTTAGTTGAGAAGATTTGTCTAGAGCAAATCATCGAGAACTAGTTGAAGGAGTGGCGTAAAGTGAATTACGATAGGGACCCGTGGAGCTTCAAATGGTAGATTCTATGTAAAACCATTCAAAGGCTTCGATGGTGCCTCAAAAAGGATCGTTAGAGTTCAATAAGTGAGTATTCAAAGAGTGATTAGGCATCATAAGTAAGGACTCAGAGAGAGACTATTCTTCATCTGTTTTCCTCTTTCCTTTCTTTTCTTATTTGCTTGCTTTTTTTCCTTCTGTTCCTCAACCGTCTTGTAACTTGAGGGACTGGAAAATAGTTCTAAGAAGAAGGATTTTTGATCAATGGAAGAATAAAGTTTTTGTAAAACTATCCCTCCTCGTATGTTTGATCTTTGCATAATTTTCTTAGGCTTTGTATGTAAGCAAGGATTGTTGAATAATTGAGGATCACTCTTGGGTGAAGTTTGAGGTGAAATCTCGCTCAATTTTAGATCTCGGGCAGTATAACGTTCCATAAATTGGGCAAAGTTCGTTCAATTTTAGATCTCAGACGAAGTTTGCTCAACATTTGAGCGAAGCTCGCTGAGTCAGTTGGCAAATTTCTCTCAAATGATTTTGAATATCAAATTCCCAATTTTGTGCCTTGATTTTAGGTGAGGATCTCTCTTGGGTCAAATTCAGGGTGAAATCTTTGGGCGAAGTTCATTGAAAGTCTATAAATAGAGCATTCATTTTTTTCTTCTCCATTTTGCCTTAAAAACCCCTAAAACCTTAAAAATCTTCCAAAATTTCTAAATTTTCTTTCAAGGCCCCAACGACTCCCTGTTGCCTACTTTGTCAAGGGAAAGCAAGTTAATAGCGGATCTCATCAGTCGAGCCTCACCGGTGCACCACTGTAGTTAGAGATGGTGTTGGGTAAGTTTCCAAAAACTCATTCTTCTAACCCTGCCATCAATGGCAAAGTTAATAGTCCCCGATGTGGCACTTTATCGAGCTCAAACAGTGCTTTAAAGTACGTGGATTAGCTTTGTCATTGATCGTGAGGTTTAATTGACCATCTTTGGTCATGAATCTTACCTTTGCTAGTGATGGATAAACTTTGACAGTCACCATCAATGGTGCTTCTCTTAGAGAAATTGGCTTGATTGAGGTTCGTTGCTTTAGCCTATTTGGCTTTTGGGCAAGCTTCACTTGAGTGATGTTTGTTGTTTTAGCCTTTTTAGTTTTTGGGTGAACTTTGCTTGGTAAGTTTCACTGTTGAGCATGTTTGGGTTCTAAGCAAACTTCGCTTGAGTAAAGTTCGTTGTGTTAGACCACTTGGGCTTTTGACCGAGTCTCGCAATTGGGCTAAAATTTGCTAATGTTGGTGTGAGCTTCACCTAGGCTTGTAACGCTTAGCTATATGTCTTAGTTTTATGTTGGGCAAACTTTTCACTTATGGGCAACTTTCCCTCATGCATAAGCCTAATGAGCCAAGCCTAATACTTATGAGCCAAGCCTAATACTTAGTAAAATTTTGAGCTAGCTCATCTAACTTAATTTTCTTTCTTTGTGTAGTTTCTCCACCAGATACGCCTGTTAGCAGATGCAACCACTTCGGCAATAGTGAAAGTCAAGACCCATTAATGCTGCACATCTTTAGGGGTAATGTTCCCCTATTTTATGCGAAGACTAGCGAAGTGCTGGTGGAATTTACTGGTCATGGTAGTGAGGCCATTTTGAAATATCTTATTATTGATGCAAAGATCTCTATTCATGAAGAGGATCAGTCTGGAAAGCCACATTTCTTGTTTGGTGATTGTAATCCAGGTGTCAACTATATTTTTAATATGGAGAAGGAGCGCTTGTACTATGCCTAAGGGGTTATCGCTTCTACTTGCCAGAGATGTAACAGCATGTGTTATTCATGTATTTTACAGCACATTATCATTCTCGTTCAATGTTGTTCTCTATCACTTGCAAGTAGGTTAGTGTAATGTTGGGTAATTTGAAGTAGGAGGGAGGGTTCTTCAAAGAAGGATGCTAACGTCTAAGTATTCTCGGTCGTCTTCTAGGGTCTATCAAGGAGAATGCTCGGACAAATGAGATTCTAGTGGTCCCTAACGTGTTCGGTAATTAGTCTGTGGACATTAATAGGTAATACCCAGAAGAGGATGTCAGATTCCTAGGGTAGATTAGGGCTACCGAATCAAACTGGGGCTCTATTTCGCTATGTAAGCTTCTCAATATGGAGTTGAGATCTACACATTGGTAATATACAACATTCTTGAGCTACATAATATCGACACCATTAACTTCTTCACACTAGCAAGAGAGATCAGGATAGCACTGAATGAAATATATGAGGTGTCCTGATTGCCGATGGGGGATCAACCGTACAAAAAATTCTTCCCCACAAATGCCGAATTAGGGAGTTTGGCACATTATGCTCATGTTGTCGAGACATTGCAGGATCTAGTTCGCCATTACTATATCTACTATTAGACAGTTACAGGTGTGGCCCACGACCCCCATGTTGCTCGTGTTCCTTAGGCTAAATATCTATTCAGAAACATGAGTAAGAAAGGACAAGAAAGGAAAAGTGGAGCTTATCCCACCAAGCTCTGGTCTTGAACTGGAGAATCAAATTTTAAAGCACGGTTTGGTAGTCAATATTGCTAACTCAGACGTGTGGATTCAGAATAGGGACATGTTTGAGAGTTTCCATCACCAGGACGCAAAGCCTATTTCTACTGAAACTTTACTTGCTAGCTTCCTTTCAATTTGGTTGAAAGGATGCATTTGTTATCTTGGTCGAAGGACTACATTTCTCTCAAGACTCTGTACCTAGTAGTCTTGCTTCTTATGAATACAATTTAGCCTTACTCCTAGCCATGGTTAGCTGCATTCATCATGGATTAAGAGAGTTGACAATGGAGAATTTGAACCAGAAGGATGGTTGTCCGGAGGAAGATGTGACCAATACAAGGGTGAAACTACCATATACCTATCTAATGATATGGTATACACTCCACTATACTTCTCTTATGTCAGCTACTACCAGATGTGAGGAGGGGGCCTCATTACTATAGCGATATGAGACCCTAAAATGAATAGTTAAGTATGCTATGAGGATTTGTTGAATTGTGTAGAATAAGGACAAATTCTACCTCTGCTACTGCTTCCTTGACATCTCTGGGACTAAATTTGGTGATGAGTTCGAGGACAGTCTGGGAGCTGAGGGGTTTACCTATTTAACTAGCAGATATTTTAAGTGGTTAGTAAATATCAGGCCTAGGCATTCTGTTGCTTTATTATATGGTATGGAGTGCAAGGTTGAGCCCTATCTCCCTTTCCACTTCGCATGATAGTTTAGGTACAACCAATCTTATATTGGTAATCCCAACACCGAGCTGTTGTGCTTGGGGAGTCTGATAGATGGAGCCCGCATTTATCACTTCAGCACCAAATGTTTATTTTGTTATACAAAATCCCTAACTATTATATGACTTTAAGGTTTTTAAATGGTATAGTATGATGAATGTCACCAACCCGCAGTTTAAGATCAACAAGTCTGGAGTGAAGTGGATCATTCGGAAGTATGAAGAAGCTTCTAGGAAAGGATGCAAAAGTAGAGCTACTAGACTCTATGAATATCTTGCGAAGGTAGGGAGAACACTACGACTATGATGATGATCCGAATGTACCCGATGAGAAGTTCCCCCATGAATAATGCAAGCACCAATGCTTGGAATCACCGGTAAAGGAGAAATCTTTTGAAGCTCGAACACACGGACCGGTGGCCGAGTATATGGCCGCTTTAGGTAAATTTCCTTATTTGCCATTATTTTACTTTGATGGATATGCATTCTAAAGACATGTGCTTTTTGTTCGTAGAGAAAGCATTTACACAGCCCAATTGAATGGATTCAGATGAGGAGAGGGACGATTATGAGATGAACACTTATATTACTAACCCGATGAATCCAGTCTTGGAAATGACACGGCCAGATCTTCCTACATCCCATGTATGATTTCATTTACAGGAATGATGTAGTCATTTCATTTTATTGACTAACGCTTCATCTCTTTTGTTTTGTAGATAGTGGACCTGAACCAGAAACCATTACGACTATGATTTCCACGCCTTCCGTTGTTGTTTTGCCTTCGGCTCTTATTGTGAACTTGATGATGCTTGAGTCCTATAGGGATGCAAGCACTTCTAAGCTCCCTAAAGAAGATGAACTGAGGATCGAGTCTAAACCTGAACCCCAAGTCTGAACCAGAAGCTATTACGGCTGCGGCTGAGAAGTTGTCCAGAGCTAAAATTACCCTATCAGTGATGAGCCTATAGTCACAGCTACAATGACAGCGAGCGTCATACAGCCTTTTGAGCCATTAGTTGGACCAACTTAGGATTCACTGCACTCTCGTTGATGTTTCAAGTATGTTGGCTTCACTTGCTTCGTTTTTTATTCCAGCCATAGGCCAACTTTTGATAGATCCAGTTGCTTTTCCTACCATAACTGAGGCCTTGACTGTTGTGACTGAGGCGAGCTCATCAACACAAGTGGTGATCGAGAATCCTTCATCTTTAGAATCTGATGATTTGACTAAGTCAGAGATCCAGATTTTGATTAAGAGCCTGATGAAGCTCTTTAGTAAGAGTGTTGAGAGGGCTTCGGTTGATAGTAAGCGTTTATCCACTCATATCAAACACTTGCTTGTAGATGTTAGCTCGGCATTCTTGCTTTCAACTACTAGAGCCGAACATGCGAGCCTTATCAAAGGATAATTGACCTAGCAAAACTCTAGTTCTAGGCAGTTACAAACTCACCATAACGGGCAAATAACGCTGATGTGCATATACAAGTTCAACGCTCTTTCATTGGCGCACTACTACAAGCTCGAGGTTGGTAGCAGGCCGGCCCCGGGCTTTGCGGTTGCCCTAGCCCCCAAATACTAATTTGCGTTGCCCCTTTATATTAAAAATTTGGTACGAACAATTAACGATAAAAAATGAATACATATAATACAATTTTAGCAGTTGCTATCATTGGTGCTCAAACTGATAATATATCATGCAAAATCAATATTCATATTTAAGAAGAGATTATATTTGCTGCTACAATCTCATCAAAGAAAAATACTTCTCCTGAATTTTTTTGAATTGCCGAATTCTTCAATTACAGTCATCATACTCAAGCTTTCTCTAAGTATTCATTTTCAATGATATCATTGCCAATCCATTCAATCGTTCCTGCTGACATGGTAGTACGGAAGATAACTTTTTATCAATTTTCAACTTGGAAAACTTCTCTCCGCCGAGGCACACGTAACTGTATAGTTAACAAAATCCGCATAAGCCAACCCATGCACATTGAAAGCCACCATCCTCCCAATAAGATCTTATGAATCCAAGGATGTCTATTCGATTTAGTCACTTCCTCGGCGCAATATTTGTTGGCAAAGCTCCGATAGGCTTCATTTGAATAAATCTTTTCCATGTATATCACATGTGGTTGTGCTTCCAAGTAGCCTTTGTAATCTAATGCAATGTTCCATTAATTTTTCTTCACCAATGCTCATGAACTTTGCATTAAACAAAAAACCGATAGATAGATTTCTTCATATCGAGCTCGAAATTGTTCAAAACGACTCTTGAGTTGCATGTTAAGGCTTATCAATAATGCTGCGAGGCAAATAGGCCGAAACTCTAAAATTTCCTCCGGTGGATTGACTACCTTCCACATTCGCTTCCACATCCTCATCAAAATGCTTCTTCTACGAACCACTCTTTTATCGCGAAAATAGTCGAGATCGATACCACATCATTATGCAAGTTCATTGGCTTCTCTTCATCATGTTTTTCAAAACCATCTTCTCTAAACTTTTGAAAGAAAACAATAAGCTCGTTTATATCTTGTAATGGCAATCCTCCAAATTCATCTCTCTTGTTGAAGAACTTTGCTAACTCGCATTAGATTTATTCTAAAATCTTATTACCAAATACACAAGCTAAATCAAGAACTCAAAATCCTCCAAAGCATTTTTACACAAGCCTTTAGCTCTGCCATCACAATGTCCTAATTTAGAACTATTGCAATTTCAATCAAAGCGTTCTCGCAACTCACGCACTGCTTGATGATATCGAATTGCCCTTTAACACTTTCAACCATGACTTTCCCACACGACGTAACCGCACAATGCGCCTTTGGTTGTTAGACCCTATTACATATGTTTTAAGAACATCCCACCGATGTGTTGATCCAGCAAACAAAGTCTGTAACCTTTTTTGCACATATGCAAAAAAATTTCTAGCTTTGACACATGATTTTGCCATATCGCATAGTGCCAAGGTTTAAGCTTATGACTACCCACATTGGTTGTATAAAAGCCTCGAGAGCATTTATCGTCAAGAAGTCTTCCTTTGTACACCTTTCGAATGTTTACCTTTCATATTTGACCCATTGTCATAAACCTTGACCTCTTATCATCTATCAATGCTGAGATTAAGTTCATTCAAAGTATCTTCAAGCTGCATGAAAAGCCCATAAGTCCCGTCGTGTCATCAACCTTTATAAATCAACGAAAAAACTCTTCCACCATTGACTTGCATTTTGTATCTTTCAATATCCACACCATCTAATGACAATTGACATTGCTCCTCGTGCGCTTAAATCCGCCGGCGTTACAATCAATAATAACTGAAAAATACTTTGCTTTTGAAATTTTGTCAAGAATTTTGCTTGATTTCATTGGCCAACAAAATTATCAATCATTTGAATTTTATGGCTAAGATAATGGTTTCTGCAACTTCTTTATCTACCACACGCCGACATGATCTTGCATAATTGATCGAATTCTGCCAAGGAACTCTATAACTGCTTGACAAAAAACGTCCGTTGTGCTTCTTATAAATCTTCTCATTAGTTCCACGAAATGGCAAACCATTTCGAGAAAGAGTCTTCACAACCGCAATGATTCGAACTAGTATCATCTTCCAACGAGTTTTCTCTTTTTCAATTTGTGCTTCTATATCTTTATCAATTGTTGCCTTTAGTTTTAGTCCTTTTTGCAAGTCAACCCACTTCACAACATTTGCACAATGCTCCGGATTACTTTCATGCTCTCTAAGCTTTGTAGGAAGGTTATGCCAATCGTCTATTCCATTCTCCGCCAAATTGGTTGTCATTGGTTTATTCTTGAACAACTTGCAACAAAAACAAAATACCCTATTCAGTTCATTTGAATAGACAAGTCATTTCCTTTCATGCTTCTCGCCATTTGGAAATTCACGGATATAATATTTGGAAGAAAAACTTCTATTTCTCCCACTCTTCTTTTCACTTGGAAACTCATCATTTTTCATTAAAATCTTGATAGGACCACGTTGAACTATCATCACCCTCTTAGTATCATTTATACTTCCCCACAATCCCGGATCATAATTTACTTCCACATCTTTCTCAAGATCAAGTATGCTTTCATGAACATTTTCATTCACAGGATCTTCATGATCTTCATCACTAGCTTCCTCCTTACGACTTCCATCCGCATAAGTGACTTCATTTATGGGCTCCTCAATGACCTCATCCATATTTTCACTAATATTGGTAGTGGCACTAGCTTCTTCAACTTGATTCAAGAGAAGAGAATGTTGTGTTTTTGCTTTGAATAGCTTAGAAATTGAGCCATGTAGTGATTTTGCCATTTCATCTTGACGTTGCTTGACTCTTCTATTATGAGCTCCAGAGTTTTGTTTTCTAATCCTTGCTCGGTTTTTGTCATCTCCCGTCATAGTGTATTGTAGTCTGTAAATATAATTATATAACATATATGAAATCACAATAAACTAAACTTAGCAATATCAATGAAGGACAGACCCGGCTCTTATCTTCCCAATTTCCCAATTAGCAATATCATTATTATTAAAACAAACATTATTTCATTGCAAAACAAACATTATATCAATCAAGGACAGAGTCTTGATAGAGGTGGAGATGACTGCTCAATTACCTAGTTATATTAAAATTCAAGGTCTAACTGGTAGCATATATTCTCAACGTGTTCTTCATGAATTTAAACCTCAATGTTGTGCACATTTAAATTGATTGGACATGATACCGAGCTTTGTAGAAAGCATAAACCAAATATGCAATGAAGATCAAAGCTCAATTGCAAAATCATTATTATTAAAACAAACCCCAATTTCATTATTATTAAAACAATATCATTATTATTAAAACAAACATTATTTCATTGCAAAATCATTATTATTAAAACAAACCCCAATTTCATTATTATTAAAGCAATATCATTATTATTAAAACAAACAATATCATTCCAAAATATCATAACCCCTAATTTAATTCTTCAACTAAGATTCAACCAAGATTACCCCTAATTTAATTCTTCAACAACTAAGATTCAACCAAGATTCAAAATCAAAATCTTAATTTCATTGCAAAACATAAAAACCCCAAATTTCTATCCAAAAAAAAAACCCTAAAATTATTTAGTTAAAAATTTTTACCTGATGGAGTGAAGCTTGACTGCTTGAAGGACGGGTCGACGGACTCGGAGGCTCGCCGGCTCGGTAGGGAGGAGCGAAGCCGCCGGCGGCGGCTCGGGAAGGGGGACTGGACGAGGAGAGGAGGGTTTCTTTTTTTTTTTCTTCTTTTTTGTGAACGGGAGTCGGGAGGTCAGAGACTTGGAGTTGGAATCGCTGAAATAAAAGGTGGGGTCGAGTTCTTTTACAAACATAACCTCTAACATTTTTTGCATAAAGGCCCTTGTACAAAGTCTATTTTAAAAATCAAAGAAAATTACAGTTTGAGGGGTATAGGAACGTTCGGAATGGGTTGCCCCCCGGCCCTGGGTTGCCCCAGCCCCGGGGCTTGGTGGGCTTACCCCAGGGCCGGCCCTGGGTGGTAGCTCGAGAGGAGATAGAAGAGGTCAACCAAAATATGAAGGAATTGACGATCCGCTTTGTTAGCCCTCTTGTTTTGATGATGTTTTACAACCACCATTATCGGTACTAATTACTTATTGAGTGACAATGTAGTTAATATATATCAAGCATGTTAGTTCCATACATGGAGGATTAGATGGAATATAAGCTACAACGATGATATCCAAAGGAGGAGGAGGCATAGTGATGAAGCAACGTTTATTCAAGAACACTAAATGCAATAAGAAGCTTCATCAAACTCAAGCTATATCAAGACTCAAAGAATTGTATTTTATGTGAGGATATTAGCTAGTTTTTATTTTCTCTCTAGTGCTAAATGTAGGCAAGTAGTTTAGATTTCATTTGAAGCTATTGGGATATCACACACACGTTTTCATACTTATAGTTTTGAGCGTTTTCACAAAATATCATTTTTCACAAGTATGAGGACCTATTCGCAAAATTCATTTTCCAAACAATTTGTTTTTAGTGTTAAAAACATTTTACAAAGTTTTACAATTTTTGGAAGTCAATTAAATATTTTACAGGTTTTTTTAAGAGAGTCAAAAACAGTTTTTGCATGTATCAGTTTGCGGTCGACCGCCACGGTCGACCGCGCCTGAGTTCTTTTCTGAGTGGGCAGCAAAAACTTTCGCGGTCGACCGTCACGGTCGACCATGAGCTCGAAAATTCCCACGGTCGACCGCAGAAGTCTTTGGAAATTTTCTAAGTTTCAAAGCTAGCTCGCGGTCGACCGCGAGAATTGTACGGTCGACCGCCGCTTATTCAAACGGTCTTTTTGGGTACAGATTTCAGCGCCGATTTTTCCAGGATTTGGGGGATTAGGGTATGGGTTTAAACAGCTATATTTTCTCCTATTTAAACCCTCTATACTCCTTCTTCCTCAAGTGTCCCAAGCTTTTGAAAAACCAGAGATCTGTTTTATTGAGAGCCAAAATTTTCAAACCTGATTTTCTCTGTTTTCAGTTTCACTTCTCAGCTTCAGTGTAATCTTTCTTCTTGCCATAGGGATATTGTAAAGAGAGAGTTTTTACACCATTACTACTATTAAGAGCTTGATCTTGTGAAGATCAACTGTGTGGGAGTGTGATCTTATGTTGATCAACTGTGTAGTTGTGAGATCTCGTGGAGATTGTTATGTAGAAGAAGTTCCGGCTTCCAAACCGGGTTGTGTAATGGATTCTCCTCGAGAGTGGGGAGCGGGGATGTAGGTTAGTGGGCCGAACCTCGTAAACACATCGCGCGTCACTTGGATAACGATTTCTCACCCTATCTCCTTTACATTTGTTGTTCATTATTGTGGTGTATTGCTTGCCTTATTTTTATTACACAATTATAGCCTTAAGACCCTAATCACCCCCCTCTAGGGTCCAATAATTGGTATCAGAACTTGGTCTCTATATTAGTTTTTGGTCTAACCACCTTAGAGAAAAGATCTTATGGAGGCTTCAATGAATGTGCATATGTTAGAGGGACAATCCACCATTAGACCACCCCTTTTCACCGGTAGTAATTTTGCTTATTGGAAGGCTAGGATGAGGATTTACCTTCGTTGCATTGATCTTGACATTCTAAAACTCATAGAGAAGAAATATGTAGAAAAGCCCAAAGTCGGGAACATGACCGATGGAGAAAGGCACCAAGCTAATCTCAATACAAAGGCCATGAATGCCTTAATTTGCGGTCTTTCCCCTAATGAGTATAATAGGGTTTCCACGTGTGCAACCGCATACGAAATATGGGTGAAATTGTGTATTACACATGAAGGAACCCCCCAAGTTAAGGAATCCAAAATTAGTGGGCTTATGCATGAATATGAGTTATTTAATATGCTTCCAAATGAATCCATTGATGCTATGTTTTCTCGCTTTACTAACATAATCAATGAATTGCATGGTCTTGATAAGAAATTAACTATCCAAGATACGAACTACAAGATCCTTCATTCATTGACTCCAATATGAGAACCCAAAGCTATGGCCATAGAGAAAGCTCATGATCTCACCACTCTAGCTCTCGATGGCCTCATCGGCAAGCTTAATGTTCATGAGAAAAAGCTCAAGGGAAAGGAGAAGGAGGAAGTGTCCCCACGGGAAGTTGAGGAGCCATCACCAAAGATGAAGACCATAGCTCTCAAAGGAGCTAGTGACAACTTCTCATCATCATCGTCGGAGAGTGAAGTTAATTTTTCTAGAGAAGTGGCTCACATCTCTAGAAGAATTTTTAGACTCATTAAAATGAACAAGAAGTTTAATCACCGATCTAACAACAAATTTTCTTCACGTGTAGGAAAATGTTTTGAATGCAATGAACCGGGTCATATCGTCAAAGATTGCCCTAAGCTCAAGGAGAAATACATGAAGTACAAGAAGAAGAAAGCCATGTATGCCGGATGGGAAGAATCCGAACCAAGTGATTTGGATAGCAATGAAGGACCTAAACTTGCTCTTCATGATCCCAACATTTGCTTCATAGCCTATGAAAAGGAGGTAGTTTCCGACACCAAAAGTGAATCATTTTATATGCAATGTGATCTAGCTACGGCTTTAGAAGAATTGAACGTTGAGTTTAAAAGGATGTCAAAAGAATTCTATTCCTTTAAAAAGTTGCATGCTTCTTGTGATGCCAAACTAGAACAACTACAAACCTCTCTTGCATTAAAAGATGAATTGCTAGGGGATCTTGATTTTGAAAACAAACAATTAAGATCCAAGATTGAAAGACTAGACATTGAGAGTGGTAGGATTAGACCCACTCATGCTTATGCTAATCATCATCACCATGGTAGAAATAGATTTCATAGATCTTATGCTCCTACATACAAGAGAAATTTTGTGTGCACATATTGCATGAAACGTGGTCATATTTCTACTCATTGTAGGATAAAAGATAATCATGATTTTTATGGCATGACAAGGGTACCCAAAGGTACCAAGCTTACTAACCACCAAGGACCCAAGATTTGGGTACCTAAAGTTACTACATCTTCATCTCTTGTAGGGAACATCATGACAATGACGTAGAGAGATGTGGTACCTTGATAGTGGTTGCTCACATCATATGATGGGCAATAAAGAGCTATTTACAACCCTATCAAGGATTAAAGGAGGTAGCGTCTCCTTCGGTGGTGGAGAGAAAGGTAAAATCATTGGTATTGGATGTGTTGGTAAGACACCCTCTCCCATTATAGAAGATGTTTATTTGGTTAATGGCTTGAATCATAATCTTCTTTGCATTAGCCAATTGAGTGATAAAGGTTTTGATATTTCCTTTAAACCGGACAAATGCATTATTAGTATGAATGGAAAAATTATTTTTGTTGCTAATAGAAAATCTAATGTGTATATTTTTGAGATGAATGAATTAGTGAATCAAGATGTGAAGTGCCTTGCGACAATTGATGAAAACCCTTGGATTTGGCATAAAAGGCTTGGACATGCAAACATGGAATTGATATCCAAATTATCCAAGAGGAATCTTGTTAAAGGTTTACCAAACTTGCATTTCATCAAAGATACCATATGCGAAGATTGTGCTAAATGTAAACAAACTAAGTCTACCTTCAAATCCATCAATGAGGTATCAACTTTTAAACCTTTACAATTACTTCATCTTGATTTATTTGGTCTTATGTGTGTTACCTCTCTTGGAGGCAAACACTATGTATTTGTTATCATCGATGTTTTTCTCGTTTTACATGGACAATCTTTCTTGCTAGTAAAGATGAATGTTTTGATGAATTTTCAAATCATGTTAAGAGAATTGAAAATAAAAAAGATTTGAAAGTTGTTAAAATAAGAAGTGATCATGGTGGTGAATTTCAAAATATCTCTTTTTATGATTTTTGTGCGCATCGTGGTATAACTCATGTGTTTTTTGTTCCAAGAATACCACAACAAAATAATGTTGTTGAACGGAAAAATCGAACCATACAAGAGATGTCACGAACTATGTTAAACTCCTTTGATTTGCCTAAATATTTTTGGACGGAAGCCGTCAATACGACTTGCCATGTTTTAAATCGTGTTTTGACTAGACCAAAGCTTAAAAAAACTCCTTATGAACTATTTTATGGCAAAACTCCTTTTATTGGATATTTTCGTATCTTTGGTTGTAAATGTTTTATTTTAAATACAAAAGATCATCATGATAAATTTGATTCTAAAATTGATGTTGACATTTTCCTAGGATATGCACCTCGAAGTAAAGCTTATAGAGTCTTCAACAAACGAACTCTTGTTGTTGAAGAATCCATAAACGTTACTTTTGATAAGACTAATATTGGTTTACAAGTTGGTTTGCCTAGGAAAGATGATGATGATGTTGAGGGAGGATTAGAATTTTTGCTAATAAATGAAACACCCTCAATAGATGTTCAAAAAGATGGGGAAAGCACAAACAACATTCAAGAGCAAGAACAAGAAGAACTCCCCATAGTATGGAAATTTGCACCAAATCATCCAAATGAGCAAATCATTGGAAATCTCTCACAAGGGGTTCTAACTCGCTCAAATGCTTTGAGTGAGTGTGGTAATGTTACCTTTCTATCTCAATTAGAACCTAAGAAGATAAATAATGCTTTACATAATGAATTTTGGGTTTTAGCTATGCATGATGAACTAAACAATTTTCGAAGAAATGATGTTTGGAAACATGCATGATGAACTAAACAATTTTCGAAGAAATGATGTTTGGAAACTAGTTCCTAGACCTAACAATG